GGGGGGGGGGGAGAAGGGCGGCTGAGGTGGGAGCTGCCTACTGTATGGGGTAGGGGAGAAAGCCACAGAAATCTATGTCAGCCAGGAAACAAAGAGAGGCTCCTGGGCCAGGGGAAATCCTGTCCCTTGTCAGCTCTGTGTCCCACCAGGAGACCCAGGACCAAGCCAGGCCAGTGTACCCACAGAGAGGGAACCATATCCCCACTAGCCACTGTGCCAGGGCAGAAAGAACCAGCAGCACAATTAATAGGCTGGTGGCCTCCAACAAGTTCCTTCCCTGCTCTGAGCCTCAGTTTCTCATTGGTGACATGAATTAATACCTGCCTCCTGGGCTAATGGTAAGATTGAGACGATGCAGTACAGCACTCAGCATGGGGCTGAAACCCAGGTACAAGGCATTTCAAGCACCCTTTTGCTGTTGCTTCTTTAAGCCTCAGTTTCTTGACATGTGAAATGGGAATGAGCTCCATGCACAGAACCTGGCCCAGCTGTGTGGAGCTGGTTCAAGGGGTGGGGACATTGGGTCTTCTTCATGGTGCATGTCTCCCCAGGGGCACGGGAGCCACCCCTTTCCCTGGGACATTCTCCTCTTGATAGGCTGCCTGAGCTGTTCGGGGCAGGAGCAGCAAACCCCACACAGGTGGGAAGGATGGTGTCCCATGCGTTCAGCACCATGCCGGGTGCTTTACTGGAATTATCTTGTAAGTCACCCCAACAGCTTGTAGAGTTGGGGATCATCACCCCACTCTATAGAAGAGATGACTGAGGCCCACAGAGAGCTCATGTCACTAGTCCACGTGACACATTCTGTAAGTGGTGGAGGCAGGAATTGGACCTGGGTCATCCTTAAGGAGGCTCAGAGAAAATGTCCTCCCAGGACCAGGGCAGGCACAGCACATACCTCCTCTCCTCCTCCAGCTGGTTGGACAGGTCTACCTTCTCCTTCCGCACACTCTCCACCAGCAGCCGGGCCCGCTGCAGCTTCTCCTCTGCTTCTGCAACATACTGGACCCCCAGCAAGGGCCAGGACCAGGTCAATCTCTTTCTGGGGACTAAGGGCCAGTGGGGGAAGGGTGGGAGAGGGCAGGTGTGGTTTGAGGAGTCGGGTCTGGAACCCCAGCCACCCCTAGTCCCCTGCCAGCCCTAGGTGGGCATGGACTGTGGGCCTGATATAAGGGGGTGGGCCCAGCTGACTCCTCACCCAAGGGGAACCTCAAGTCCACCTGTCCCCATACCTAGCACCCCAATAGCTGCCACCTGCCCCAACCTCCAAGGGCCTAAAACACATTGTCTTGTGAAGGCCCCTGTCACGATACACATGTGAGCTTGGCTTTATTAATTCTAGCACCCAAGAGAAGGATGAGCTGGCCACAAATGGGGACAAGGGCCCAGGAGGGGGCTTTCATGCAGGTGACAAACATCAGGGAAAAGTAGACATGTGACAGCAGATGACCCAAGGCTTTGGGCAAGGGCTTACTTCCCTGAAGCCCAACCCACGAATCTGCTCAAAAGCACAATATGAAATGTGGATGGTTGTGTACAAAAAAAACATGTACACAAGTATTATTTATAAAAAGTGAGACATTGGGAACAATTTAAACAAAGCAGGAGACTGGCCACATCAGCAAGGATGCAGTCTGTAACAGACGGCAATGCCGCTGTTCAAGCCGGGAAGAATTTTCCATAGCCAAGGAAATGCCCGCACTAAGGAAGTAGAAAAAGTTTATATCCAGGTTCTTTTTTTTTTTTTTAAATGTATCTTTATTGATTTCAGAGAAAGGAAGGGAGAGGGGGAGAGAGAGAGAGAGAAACATCAATGATGAGTCATTGATTGGCCGCCCCCTGCACGCCCCCCTTGCTGGGGATCAAGCCCGCAACCCGGGCATGTGCCCTGACCGGGAATCAAACCCCGACTGCCTGGATCCTAGGTCAACGCTCAACCGCTGAGCCACGCCCGGCCAGGCTATATCCAGGTTCTTAAGGTGTGTGAACCTATCCACTGGAAGGACACTCGCCAGGAGGAGGAGGAGTCTTCTCTGCACACCCAAGCCCTCCACTCTGAGTGTGAGTGAGTGATCTACAAGCCTGACCTGAGGAGGCTCTAGGTGCCCTCTGGGTGCCCACTGCCCCATCTGCCCACCCACCTGCTCGTGCTGTGCCTTGAGCAGGGCGATCTCCTTCTCCACCTCGCAGATGTGGCTTGTGGCCTTGGCCACCTCAGCCCGCTCCAGGTCCCGTTCAGCCAGCAACTGCTCAATGTGCTGCTGCTTCTCCTTCAGTGCTTCTTGCAAGGCAGTTGTGCCAGAGATCTTGCGGGCGTAGCGTGAAGAGGTCTCCGTGAGCTGCAGGAAGGCATGGGTGCAGGCAGGACTCAGGGATCTGCAGCGCCATCCAATAACTGACAGATACCCAGCAGGTAGGGGCCCAAGTACCTGGGTTTCCAGGGTCCTGCTCCTCCCCCTGCTAGTGCCCCTGCCTACTTACGCAGACAGAAGCATATTATTTCAGATTTAGGAAACGGCCCCCTCCCAGGAGAATCACAGCTGGTGGCCTCGTCTGGGCCACCTTCTCCTCGGCCAGGAGGAACTTTCCATTCTAGACTAAGCTTGGATAGAAGGCTCTCTGCCCAGAAGGGCAGCCTCACCTTTTCCCCTTACCCAGGGTCACTGCGGCAACCTTTTTGAAACCACTGCCCTGCACCTCCTTAACTCCCAGGAAAGGGCTTAGGCTACTGAAAATCAGTAATATAAAAATAACAATAATGTAAATGGAACAATTTCCCTTGTTAAAAGATATACACTTTCATCTTTGCTCAAAAACTCCAATCTGAGGATGTCTGGAACTAGTGCAAGTCAGGGGCAGATTGGGACACCTGGACCCCTCTGTCCCCAATCCCCATATACACACCAGGGCATCCCTCCCCAGCCCCAACCTCACCAGGCCACTGCGGCTTGGCCGGCCCCCCACAGAGGAAGCCACGGAGCTGACAGAGCTGATGGAGGAACTGCTGGGACTGTGGGTGAGCGCTGAAACACCCATGGCCATGCGCTTGGTCTTCTTGGCCTTGGCTGGACTGGTGGATGGGAAGCCGATGCGGATCACCTTGTGGATGGGAGCGAAGAGACCAAACTTGGGTGGGCACTGGAAGTACCTGGGGAAGCAAGAGAGACCCATGCTGCTGTCATGGCCACATGGCCTGGAGCCTCCCCTGCCTCCCCCACCTCTTTAGAGCCCAGCAGGGAGGCTCATCTTTGGGGCCCAATCACCCATATCCCAAGACCAATAGATGGGACTCCCAGAAAGAGAATAGAGGTAAGTAGGGCCTGATTCTTTGCAGCTGTGAACAGCTGTTGGGCATATTTGGGGGGTGTAGGTGAATAACAGTTACTAAGCACATACTCTGTGCTAGTCCCTTTTCATGAATGCTCATTTCAAGCCCCCGACCATTCTATTGTTATCTACATATCAGAGGAGGAGACTGAGGCTCAGAAAGGTTAAGTAACTTGCCCACAGTCACACAACTAGTCAAGTGGCAAAGCTGGGACTGGACCCCCTGACCTGCTGGGCTCCAAAGCCAACTATGCTTGGTTCCCACACACCATCCAGAGGCACACCCACTCTCATGGCTGCCTCTGGACCACCCGAGACCCTAGGAACTCCTTCAGCTCTCGGCCTATGGAGCTCCCTGCATAGAGAAGCAAAAGCCTGAGGGAGACACCGTGGGGGTGGGATGGGGACTTCCACCACCCAACCTGCCCCTGAATTCAGAAAGCAGGAGTAAGTTGAGAGAAATATCTGTCTTGAAAACAGGAAGGCAAAGTGTTATTATGGAAACTCTGGCTGGTCGTCTTCTCTTGAAATCTCTCTGGTCAAGGATTCTACACGGGACCAGGGGAGCTAGACCTGTCTAATTTCTGACTCACCTTGAAATGGCCACCCCATCCCTCCTCTTCCCACATTAAGGTCTTTGCTTGGGTTGTCCCCCGAGCCTAGCATACCTTCCTTCTCAGAGCTGTCACAGCCTCATCTGGGCCACAGAATCAAACCCAGGGACGGCCAATGCACAAACACAGGCCACCTAGCCTTAGCCCCACATCCCTGACACTGTTCACCCATCGTCTCATCCTACCCCACCCCCAATGAGCCCAGACACAGCCTTAGACCCCCCTGACCCAGCATTCCCGGCAGTCATTTCCCTTTCATCAGAGATGGCGTGGAACCTGGAGCCAGTTGTGACCTACCCTTGGCTGCAAAGCACAGCTCACTGTCTGATTTCCTGTATCACCCAGGGAAATCCCTGGGAGGCAGGGACCACCACCTATCACAGGGTCTTCTCTTGACTGTGTGACCTTGAGCAATGACCTCTCTGGCCTCCGTTCTCTCATCTGTAAAATGGGGATGATAGTCCCACCATCTGCCCTGTGTGCTGCTGTGACAGAAGGATGGAGGCAGCATCTATACTGTGATGTCTGGCACAGCCACCCACACACTCAACACTGGCTTCCTCAGATGCCCCATCCATGTCCCCTGCACCCATCCCAGGCAAAGACGAGCCCCCTCCCACACTCCTGGGCGAAGCCCACCGTACCTGGTACCCGCCACCGCCCCATCGTTCTTCCCAAGGGGCTCATCCAGCTCCACGCCACACCACTCGCCCTTGGCAAAGTCCGTTTCCCCCACGTACCGCNCTATGGAGCTCCCTGCATAGAGAAGCAAAAGCCTGAGGGAGACACCGTGGGGGTGGGATGGGGACTTCCACCACCCAACCTGCCCCTGAATTCAGAAAGCAGGAGTAAGTTGAGAGAAATATCTGTCTTGAAAACAGGAAGGCAAAGTGTTATTATGGAAACTCTGGCTGGTCGTCTTCTCTTGAAATCTCTCTGGTCAAGGATTCTACACGGGACCAGGGGAGCTAGACCTGTCTAATTTCTGACTCACCTTGAAATGGCCACCCCATCCCTCCTCTTCCCACATTAAGGTCTTTGCTTGGGTTGTCCCCCGAGCCTAGCATACCTTCCTTCTCAGAGCTGTCACAGCCTCATCTGGGCCACAGAATCAAACCCAGGGACGGCCAATGCACAAACACAGGCCACCTAGCCTTAGCCCCACATCCCTGACACTGTTCACCCATCGTCTCATCCTACCCCACCCCCAATGAGCCCAGACACAGCCTTAGACCCCCCTGACCCAGCATTCCCGGCAGTCATTTCCCTTTCATCAGAGATGGCGTGGAACCTGGAGCCAGTTGTGACCTACCCTTGGCTGCAAAGCACAGCTCACTGTCTGATTTCCTGTATCACCCAGGGAAATCCCTGGGAGGCAGGGACCACCACCTATCACAGGGTCTTCTCTTGACTGTGTGACCTTGAGCAATGACCTCTCTGGCCTCCGTTCTCTCATCTGTAAAATGGGGATGATAGTCCCACCATCTGCCCTGTGTGCTGCTGTGACAGAAGGATGGAGGCAGCATCTATACTGTGATGTCTGGCACAGCCACCCACACACTCAACACTGGCTTCCTCAGATGCCCCATCCATGTCCCCTGCACCCATCCCAGGCAAAGACGAGCCCCCTCCCACACTCCTGGGCGAAGCCCACCGTACCTGGTACCCGCCACCGCCCCATCGTTCTTCCCAAGGGGCTCATCCAGCTCCACGCCACACCACTCGCCCTTGGCAAAGTCCGTTTCCCCCACGTACCGCACCACGCCAGTCTTTGTCCCGCCAACCTGTTGGCACACAGAGAGACTCAGGTCTAGGGGATAAAAGTGGGCACAGGCAGAGATGGTGCAGGGACCCAGGTGCCCAGGCTCATCCCATCCCTCCCGTCCAGTATGCAGGAGAGAGGGGAGTCAGGGGCGGGGAGGGGGAGAGGCCTAAGGACAGCTGGGAGGGATACAGGTATAACCAGTACTTCCCAGGGCTGTCCCATGAAAGAGCTTGGAGACAGACAGATAGACCTTCATTTAATGCTGTATAAGCTTCGGCAAGTTACCTAACCTCTCTGAGCTTCAGCATCTTCGTCTTTAAAAAGGGGTTTTGTGAGGATTAAGTGCTGCATGTGCAGTATGACACATACTAGAAGTCTCAATACATTTTATCCTTAAAAAAGGTTCAAATGGCAGTGTCCAGGGGCTGGCAGGAAGAGGGGAAAAAAGAGTAGTTTAAGGGAATAGAGTTTCATGATGAAAAAGATCTGTGGATCTGTTGCACGACAGTGTAAATGTACTTAACACTAATGAAATGGTTAAGAAGGTAAATCTTGTTATGTGTATTTTACCAGTTAAAAAACTCACAGTACAGGCTAATAAGTGTGAATATTACTGTAAAAATAGTTAAAATCTCTTAAGATTAAAGTTATTTATACATAGATTAGAGAGTCAAATACTTCCAAAGGTTTAAAAAGCCCTAGAAGTTTCTCCACCTCTCCCCAGAAGCAAAACTTTAACTCTTTAAGCTGAACTTTTTGGTATTTTACCTCTGTATTTCTAGACAACATGCTTATATTGCTACTTCTTGCCTTTTCGATTTTGGGTGCCATTCATCGACCTCCCATCAAGGAAGGGGAGGTGTTAGTTCCCCATCACCACTGCTTCACACCTACTTCCAAGCTTGCCCTCTTCCACATGGCAATGTCTTAATTTTGATCAGATCTGGGTTTACGGTGCTATGACTAAGCAAACACTACTCACAGGTCCCTCTCGCCTCGTGTCGGAGTCTGGCTAGAGCACTAATAAGCCCTCACCAGCCCCAGGGATGTGTTGCTGCAACCTTACTGCTCAGCGCCTCTGGAGCTGAATCCTTGTCAGTCCCTCCCTGTCTTCGTTGGGATGAAACCAGGCAGGTATCTTCTTAGAGATGGGAGCAAAGCAGGAAGAGTGGGAATGTTTCCAGAGGGGACAGGTCTGGTGCCAGACCTCTGCCAAGGTCAGCACAACCTGGGGACGCTCATCTCCCTGAAGCCCCAGAGACTCCCTCACTGAGACCCCACCATGTGTGAGCCAGGCCTGCCCTCCAGTGATGAGACCTGTCTCTTCTCCCTTTATTTATTATTTTTATTATACTTAATTTAACTTAAAAAAAGAATACTTTATTTTTTAGAGAAGTTTTAGGTTTACAGAAAACCTGAGCAGAAAATACAGAGTCCCCATATATCCCTTCACATCCCTCCCTAGAGCCTCCCCTTATTAACACCCTGCGTCAGTGTGGCACATGTGTACAATGGTGAGCAAATACCGATCAGGACTATTAACTAAAGCCCACAGTTTACATTGTAGTTCACTCTTGGGTCTTGACAAATGTATCCGCCGTTACAGGCTCATACAAGATAGTTTTCCTGCTGTAAAAAACTGCGCTCTGCCTATTCTCTCTCTCCCTCCTACCACTTGATCTTTTTATTGTCCCCAGAGTTTGACCTTTTCCAGAATGTCATATAGTTGGAATCATACAGTCGGTAGCCTTTTCAGATTGGCTTTTGTCATTTAGTCATATGCATTTAAGGTACCTGCATGTCTTTTCATGACTTGGCAGCTCTTTTCTTTTCAGCACTGAATAATATTCCATTGCCTGGATATACCAAGGTTTATTTATCCAGTCACCTATTGAAGGACGTCTTGGTTGCTTCCAAGTTTTAGCAATTATGAATAAAAATTCTATAAATATTAGTGTGCAGGCTCTTGTGTAGACATAAGTTTTAAGCTCATTTAAATAAATACCAAGGAGCACAACTGCAGAATGGTATGGTGAGAATATGCCTACTTTTGTTAGAAACTGCCAAACTGGCCCGGCCGGGCGTAGCTCAGCGGTTAAGCGTCGACCTAGGATCCAGGCGATCAGGGTTCGATTCCTGGTCAGGGGGGCTGCAGCAGATCAATGACTCTCTCATCATTGATGTTTCTCTCTCTCTCTCTCCCTCTCCTTTCCTCTCTCTCTGAAATCAATAAAGATATATTAAAAAAAAAAAAAGAAACTGCCAAACTGTCTTCCAAAGTGGCTGGACCATGCTGCATCCCATCAGCAATGCAGGGGAGTTCCTGCTGCTCCACTAAGGGGATGTCCCCTTCACGTCCACCCCCTGCGTGCCAGGCCCAGTCTCCTGAGGGATGAGCCCCACCCCTTCCTTTTCCACCATCTGGAGGTCGCCTGCGGGCTTGCAGTCCCTTCTGGCTTGGGAACTAGATTCTAGGTCCCACGGAGTAATAGAGGTGGGAAAGCTGCATTAATCTGTGTCTCAGGGACTTTCCTCTGAGGAAGTCAAAACTGTTGACTCACTTAAAATAGCGACCTGTGCCTCGGGTGAGGGTCTCATCCACACAGTGAGGGAACAGCGCCTTGGAGCTGCCCAGCTCTGTCATTAGGAGGCTGGATGAGAGCTGCTGTGAGGGAACAGTGAGGGGTCCATGTTCGAGGCCTGGAGCAGCCCCTACTGGGGAGCTGTGGGAGGGGCAGGAGTGCTGGCAGGGAGGAGGCTGGCCAGGAGAGAACAGCAGGCGGCATTGGGCCACACTCAGGGAAAGGAGGGGACTGAGGTGGTGATCCTCCATGACAATGTCCACAGTTGTTGAACTGAATAATAGCTACCGAGAGTATCTGGGGTTCAACTAGTCTGTGGGGCACTGACATCATACATGTGGTGCCTTGCTCACTTTCAGGCTCTGTAGTAGGAACATGGGAATGAAACAGGTAAGACCCCTCCTTGTGGAGCTCCCGGTCAGGGCAGGACACAGACAGTAAAGAAGGAAGTAAATAAATGTTGTTATTCCAGGTGGATGACAAGGGCTATGTGGAGTAATATGGGAGGCCTGTGTCTCCGAGGAGTGACAGTGACACACAGACCTAATTGAAGTGGGACAGCAAGCTACAAGCAGGCAGCCAGGCCTCTTCCTTCCTGAGACAGCTTTCTCTGTTCCTTGCTAATTACACCCCATACTGTCGAGTACAGATGACCAAGACATTTCTATTGCCACCCTCCCCACCCCCTGCTGAGACTCCTGGGCACACTGAAGGTCGAGGATACAGGGAACATTCCTAAGCCAGTAGGTAGAAGCCAAGAGGCCCCATCCCAGCCTTGCCCATGCCCTGCTTTATGACTCTGAGCAAGTACTTGCCCTCTCTGAGCCTCACTGTCCTCACCCATACAACAAACAGTTAGGACCTGGTGGCTTCTGTCCCAGCAGGCCTATGAGTCTGGATTGGCTCTCACTAATCAATGACCCTCTGGTCGGGTTGTCTTCCCAACCCCTCCTATCACTAGGTCTCAACCTGCCCTCTTGGTTCCTGCTGCTCTGTAATTCCAACCTGGAATGTCTTTTGTCTTCCATGACCTCAACCCTAAACTGGTGGCTGTGAGGCTGGCCCCTGAGTCTGCCACACCAGGCCATGCTGCCTCTGAAACTAACTTCCCTAAAACCCATGCAGACAGGCCACCTCCTAGGATGGACTTTCAGAACCATACCCTGGGGTTCCTACAGGGCCCCACGGGGACACACACTGCAGCTTTCCACGTCTTAGGTCAGCCAGGCAGCCAAGAGCCCTCCACATGTTCCCTGGGCCTGGAAGGTGCCCAGGACCAAAGGCAGTGGAGGGCTATCCCAGGCAGAAGGAAATCGAGAGGGCCTGGGGTAGCAGGGTCCCACCTGGCCTGGGTCCTGTCTCAGATCTGGTATGGTCTAAAAGGCTCTGTTACCTTGGACAAGTCACTGCACCTCTCTGCTCCCACCTCTGCCAGGAACCCCCACCCCAGACACCCAGAACCCTTGAATGCTCATCCAGAGCAGGACCCCAAACTCACCCAGGCTAAGCTTTAAGACAACTCGGGAGCAAGAATTTTAGAAGAGGAAATTGGGCAGAACAGAGCAGACCACTGCTAAAGAAATTTCAGGCGTTAGCCAGAAAGTTTACCTGTGTGTGTACTGGGGCTATGGAGGGGGCAGAGGGTGGGAAAGGACAAGGCAGGACAGCTAGCCTGTGGGCCCAGCTCAGTCACATCCACTTTAGGTGCTGTTGGGAAACTCAAGTCTCTGAGTCTCAGACCTCAATCTGTGAAATGGGCTACTGTGAGAACCATAGGTGAGCCACACAGCACAATGCACAACTCCACACCACACCTGAAAATCTGGCTCAGACAGGCGTGTGACAAAACTTCCAATACTTAAGTGGCACTATTCCGGAAAGGTGAGGCATGTTTCTCCTGGGGCCTCCAGGTCTCCCTCTCACCCTCCAGAGGTTCCTCCAGGGACCAGGGTCTCTCAGGGTTGAAGAGGAAATGGATTGTGCATGTAAAGTTCTTGGCACAGGGCTCTGTTCACAGTAAGTGCTTGACCAATAGAAACTGTGTGACTGGGAGGCTCCCTGAACTCTGAGGCCCTCACTGCACCTGGGACCCCATGGCCAAGGAGAATGCCCACCCATCATGGACTTCAATGCTGACAATAGCTAACACTTCACAGAGGTTACACAGAGCCACTTGAGGTAGGTGAATTATTATCCCCATTTTATAGGTGAAGAAACTGAGGCAGAGAGGATAAATAACTTGCCCATGATTACTTAGCTAGTACATGGACCTCATGGGTTAATGTTGAGGCCCAAATGAAACCAGGATTTAGAGGTATCTTTAAAGGGCAGCACAACTTAATGAACACAAATACCGTTACTTATGTTCATAAATAATAAATACTGCTCACGCCTCTGACCCAGGTCAGAAGCAGATTTGTGGTTGGTGAAGCTAACAGAGCTTAGGCATCAGGGATCCTCACCTGCACTGGCCCCTTCCAAGGACCTGACAATGCATTCATGGGAATCACATGATTTATACAATTTGCAAAAGCAGTATTTTTTCTTGTTTTTCCTAGAGTTCCCCCATCCTCAAATGGTTTAAGTGCAGGCCTCTACAGTCACCCATGTCCAGGATATAATTTTTTGAGGGTGGGGTAGGGACAGGAAGGTGAGGTGTCAGATATTCACAGCAGGTACAGAGAAGAAAAGCAAGTGCCAGAGTCAGCCAAGCCAGCTGGGTCCTGGCAGTATACAGTGGACCAGGCCTGGAAGACTAACCCAAGGGAAGCTGCAGACTAGGGCGGGGTGGGGGATAGGTAAGGCCTGATCCTTGCGGTAGAAACAAACCTCCTGTTCAGATTCCTCTCCCTCACCCAGAATCTGAGCACATCCAGGGTAGGCACAGCTGATGAGTGAATAAAGGGATGAATGGCCCATAACCTCCTGGCTGTGTGTCCCTGGGCAGGCTGTTTTCCAGGGCTGAACTCAGTTTCCTCATCTGTAAAATTGGGGGGATAACCCTTACCTCATAAGGCAAAGGGGAGAGGACCCAAAGAGATAAGGTACAGAAAGTGCTAGGCACAGTGCCCAGTGTGGGGTACACCCCCAAGAAAACAGTGTCTCAAAGTGAGGATTCAACCTACTTGTGGGCTGGGAAGTCAATGGGGCCTATCTGCTGCTACTACTGCCAGCTCTGATGAAGGGATACGGCCTGGCGGAAACTTCTAGAGCAGCGCCTGTCTTATGCCAGTTTGAGTGCCCCCTGCTCAGTAAGTTCAGTTCCCACACCCTGAAAAGGGACCAGGTACAAGGAGAGTTCTAGGCAGAATCAACGGGGTAAATCCTCCTGCTTCCCCACAGTAAGGGACCAATCAGGGCTGGTCAATAACCCCCACAGCTGCCACTTCCCACCCGAGGTCGCAGACCGCCCCCCAGGGCACTCCCATGACACTAACCAGGCCTTGCACAGCCAGAGCCCTTCGTCACTATGAAGCACTCCCACATCCACCGGTTCTTTCTATGCTCCAACAAAAGCATCACATGGCGCAGGATGGTTACTAGACTTACTGTGGTGACCACTTAGTAAAATACATAAATGTCCAATCACTGTATTGTACACCTGAAACTAATATATTGTACGCCAACTGTAATTGAAAAAGAAATTATTTTTAAAAAGCATCACATGGGTGCTAACTATGCAGTTTTGCTGAATGGATAGGTGATGAATGAGTGAAAAAAATGAATGAATAAATGAGGATGAGGCTTGGTTAAGTGACTCTCTGTTATAGTTAATTAGATGTCTGAACCAACCACCCAACACTTGGCCAGGGGTCTTGAGCACTCTAGTCCCTGGCCTTTTCCAATACAGGCCTGGCACATCTGCGATGGCAGGCTAGATCAGTGGATATTATCAGTAATAGCTAACATTTATGGGGCACTTACTAAGTAGCAGGAACCATCTAAAGGCATTACATGTATTAATGCATTTCAACTTATGACAGAGGTACTATTAAAATTCCCATCTTATAGATGGGAAGACTGAGGCCCAGAAAGGTTAAGACACCTGCCCAGGGTCACACAGCGACAGTCTGAAGATCCCACTTCACCTGTTTCCCTGGTCCCTCTGTGTGGTTCTAACAAGGAGTGGGTGATCCAGCCAGGACCCCACCCAAGCCTCTTGAGTCCCCTCCTTACCAGTCCTCTCGGTTCAGCTTGCCCATGTGGGGTGTAGCAGTGGGGGAAGGGACTCACCAACACGCGGTCTCCCAGGCGCAGGTCCTTGTCACCCCGCTTCACGGATCCACTGTCTGAGAGGTTGGAGCCTGACTCGTTGCCTGTCTTGACGGAGCTGTTGAGGACGCTCTCCCGGAGCGGGATAACGCGGCTGGTCAGCGGGGGTGTAGCTGTGCCAGAATGCAGTGACAGGTTCTGGGCAGTCAGTGACTCTACCGAGTGGGTGTCGCTGCCTGAGCCCTCGGCCGTAGGCTGCCGGGTTAGCTTGGAGGGCCGCGTGAAGATGCCCTGCAGGGCCGGGCACTCGAAGTAGCGCACGCCACCCACAGCGCCATCGTTCTTGCCCACAGGCTCATCCAGCACCACGCCGGCCCACTGGCCGGGTGCGAACTGCGTCTCGCCCAGGTACTGCACCACGCCCGGCTTCACGCCGTTCACCCATACCCGCTCGCCGACCTCGAAGTCCCCCACGAAGTCATCGCCCACCTCGGTGGCCTTTGGACCAGGCTTCTCAGGGGCAGCGGGTGGGGCCACAGAAGAGGGGCCCGAGGCCTGCTTATGCAGGGGAGAGCCTGTGGGGTGAGAAGACAGGCAGCAGTTAGGGCTGAGTGAGCGCTGGAAGGTATCAGTGCTGGTTACCTGATGGGGAAACTGAGGCAGGTGTGGTTGGCAGTGTGGCCTTGATCAGGTCTCATTCCTTGTGGGCCTTGGGTCCCATGAAAAGGCTGTCAACCTATCTGTGGACAGCTGGCCACAGCCACAGGCATCTTGGGGCAAAGAAAGAGCCAGGAAAACTCTCTTACTCCAGCCCTAAGCCTCCCTTCTCTTGCCTCCTCCTTCCCAAGCCTGAAGCTCCCGGGCTGCACAGACCAGGAAAAGTGGGAGGGAGAAGGGCAGGAGGAGGAAGTAAGTATGTCACCTCATTGGGGCTCTCTGGCCTGAGCTGGGTCCCCTGATCCAGCCCCTCCTTATAGGAAGAATGACCGTGAGGCTGAGAGAGGCAAGGGCCTTGCCCAAGACCACAGAGCAGAAATGGGACTCAAACTCTGGGAGAGGGGACTACCTCCCAGCCTGGGCTCCAATGCGCTCCAAGACACCGAAGAGAAAGGGAAGGGAAGCAACTTTCTCAAGGTCACTCAGGAAATGACAAAGTAGGGCTCAACCCCACCATGCTGTATGTGTATCTGGCTCTTGGGCCCCAGGCTCCTCGGCATGTGGGAACTCAGAAAGTCTGCCTGTTTGTGCCTCAAAGTCTGGAGGCCGTCCCTCCTTCCTGCCAGGGCAAGCATCACGTGGAGGAGGTCTCCTCTCCTCCAGAGGCTGACGGGCTTATGAAACACAGATGGGGACAGGGGCAAGCAGACGCTGCCACACCCCCATCAGAGATGCCTATGTTTCTGGTTTTTTCCATGGGCAGCCAGTGGAGGGGGCACAGGGCAGCGGCTCCACCCGAGTCCTCCTTTCATCCAAGGCCAACGAACCCTGGTCCCCAGGCCTGGCTGGATGCTCTCAGGGCTGGAAGCCAACCCTTAAGGACAGAGCTTCCGGGGCACGAGGAAGCCACACGATTCCAAGGCAGGCCCAACACATGAGGACAAACAGGCAGGTTCTCCCTCTGGGCACTGGCAGCGGTGGTGGGAAAGCACATGGCCACCCAGGACCCGGGCAGCCAGGATGGGGGTCCTGACCAGGGGGGAAGGGGCTACCTCTCACCTGTGAGCTTGGCTCCTGGGAGATCGACGACCTTTGCTGCTGAATTTGATTAACAACCACTATTATTGCACCCATTAATTAGTGCTCTGTGCTAAGAGGCTGACATACAGCAGTTCATCTGACCCTCACAGTTAACCCTGTGAAGTGATTTTGTTGTCCCAGTTTTAAAGATGAGGAAACTGGGGCTCAGAGATAACGGTGCTTTATCTAAGTTCCCAAGCAGTAGGCAGCAGAGCCAAGCTCTGGCCAAAGGCCTCTGGCTCTTGGTGCAGAGCACTTTCAATCATCTAACAAATGTATATGAAGTGCCCACAATGCCCAGCCCCAAACTACAACCACCCCAAATCTTGGACTCCTCTGAATGGACCTATTTTCCAGAATCTGGCTAAACCCTACAGTTCCCTGCAACCAGGAAATAATCTCATCTATTACTTCTTCCTATGTAAGGATGTCTCCTTCCATTTCTTGTTTATATGAGAACCCTGAGTGGGACGCTGGTTGGGGGCCCCAAGGCTCTCTTCCACCACTTAGATTCCATGAGGTCCCAGTGACTGAGGGAGCAGAGCCTGGAGACCCGCAGACCTGCTCTCAAACCCAGCTTCCCCCGGCCCCATCTGTGTCCCTTACCTGCACCTCTCTCCTGGGCCATGTGGGATGATACGGACAGTGCCTGCCTGGCCCATACATGGACCCATGAGTGCTGACTATTGTTATTTTCATGAGAATGGCTTATATAAAAACTAAAAGGCTAGAAAATAATTGAAAACCATAAAAGGCCCAGGAGGCAGAAGAAGGGCCTCCAGGCAGGTTCTGGTCATCTTGGGCAAGTGGCTCTACCCCTGAGTAAAATGAGGCGGCTGTCTGAGACCTCTGAAATTGACATAAAACACCAAGTGTAAGTCAGCTAACACAGACCCCATCCAGCTGGTTCCCTGCTCCTGGGCCAATCTCCTGGGAGTCCTCAATCCTGATCTAGGACAATCCTGTATCACAAGGAGCTTCTACTGGGACCTGGGAACCCCACCCACTCCCCCACAGTGGCTTTCCACCTCACTGGGTCAGGCAGGCACCTTCCTTAGACAAAGCTGCTCTGAAAAGCAGCCAGACGGGAAGGAAGCCCCCAGCCCCCTCACAACACTGCCCAAGAAGCCTGTGGAGCCCATCAACAATGAGATGTCAATATTGTCATTATTTAAACAGCAGCTCCTACCCTGGCTGGTGTGGCTCAGTAGTCAGGGTGTCAGCCTGTGCACAGAAGGGTTGCAGGTTTGATCCCTGGCCCCAGTCAGGGCGTGTATGGGGGCAACCAATCGATGTGTTGCTCTCACATCCATGTTTTTCTCTCTTTTTCCCTCCCTCCTTCCCTATCTGAAATCAATGGAAAAATATCCCTAGGTGAGGATTAACCAAAATAAAATAAAACAGCAGCTACCATTCATGAAGTGCCTACTGCACGCCTCCAATGGACTGGGTACTTTTTACATATTACATTCTTATCTTGCAGATTAGGAAACAGAGGTTATGAAACTTGCCCAGTTACCTAGGCAGGAGTCAGGCCCAGCTGGTCGGGCTCAGAGCCCTCCCTATTGATGACTCCCCAAATAGGCACACATACACGACAGGTGCCTACTAGGTGCCAGTGCCGTTCCCATATCCATTTCTAGAACACTTCCCTGTGTCGAGGGGCTGAGTGATGTCTGCTAGCTGAACAGAATGGTGTGACCCAGGTAAGAGCCTTTCCCCACCTTTCCTTTTGCTTACAGAGGAGAGTCCCAGGTCGAGGGGGACCAAGCTATTCTGGGCTATTCTTGGCAAAAAGCTCCTCCTCAGCTGTTCTCCTCAGCTGTCCCAGCCCAGGCAGACCCTCAGGTAATCTTTCTTCCCCACTCCACCCCTTCTAGGGGTCACAGGCCCAGGGACCAGTTGTTTCAACAGCTGCTAAAATCCAGGTCACAAGCTTTTGGCAAACGCGCTCCAGTATTTTGCTCCATTTTTCCTCTTTGGTGCCCCTGGCTGCCTGTCTCACCAGGGCAAACCCTCGTCAAATCCCCCTCTCACACTAAGGAGCTTTCAGCAGCCTGAGCTTGGGAAGGCATGGAAAACCCTTATAGAGCCAAAAAGAAGGAAATCTTGCCTTTTGCAACAGCATGGGAGGACCTGGAGATTATTATGCTAAGTAAAATAAGCCAGCCAGAGAAAGACAAATACCATATGATCTCACTTACATGTGGAATCTAATGAACAAAATAAACTGACGAACAAAATAGAAACAGAGGCATGGATACATGGAACAGACTGACAGCTGTCAGAGGGGAGGGAGCTTGGGGGCTGGATAAAAGAAGGTGAAGGGCTTAAGCAAAAAAAAAAACAAAACACAAAATTAAAACCAGTAACCTAAGACACAGACAACAGTGTGGTGACAGCCAGAGGGAAAAGGGGGCTGAGCGGTAGATGGAGGTGGGCAAACAGGAAGAAAAGGGAACGAAAAGAGACTTTGCCCGGGGCAGCGGGCGCACAGTGCAGTGTGCAGATGATGTTTTGTTGAGTTTTACACTTGAAACTTTTGTGAACCAATGTCACCTCAATAAATTTTTAAAAACAAAACACCTAAAATAAATAAATAAAATTTTAAAAAATATATAATTAAAACAACATCAACAAAAGCTTACAGAGCCCCCTTCCCTCCAGGGAGCCATTATAACACATTGGCTAGGCCTGGCCAAGCCCCTTCTCATATCTGGGCCTGTTTCCCTATGGGACAACAAAGAACTGGGTCAGAAATAGCCAAGGTCCTGGCCAGCACTGATAGTCTATGGGTCCCACTTCTTCTGGAGGAGCTATTGTGAGTACTCAAGCTATCAGACCTGACCATACTCTCACAGCTCTGAAGCCAGGATCTGGGCTCTGCTCCCTCCAAGTTCCTGCACAGGCTAGCAGTGGCTCAGCACACCCCCAACGGCAGTGACAGACCTAAACCTCACAGGAGCAGCTGATCCTTTCCCAGACACAGGCATGAGGAAATTTATTGCTGGTTTCAAGTTCAAAGTAGAACTTTGATGAAAAGGGCTAATGGACATGGTGTAGAGTGGCAGCAGCTGGTGGCCCGGTCTTCCTGGGACCCACCTCCCCATCTTTCCCCTCTCCCCCAACTGGCTCTCCAACAGAGGCCAGAGCCCATGTGTGGCATCAACACACTCAGCCCGCAAAACAGGAGCTTTCCCCTCCTGCCGTCACCTACTCTCCTTCCCAGCAAACAAGCTTTCCTCTCTCTATTTAAATGTTTATTACAAAGATCATTCATACATCCACTGCAGAAAAATTAAAAAACATAGGTTACTGATTTTTAAAAAAAATGAAAGCACCTATAATTCCATCATACAAACATAACACAATTAAAGTCTTGGCATATGTTTTTCTAGGCTTTATCTTGTGCATATACATTCATATATACTGCATAGTTAAAAACTCAAGTGAGGCCATATTTAGATATTACAGTACTTGGTCTTCTGCACTTCTCAAGGTGGGTATTTTTTGATCCAGAAGCATCTAGAAGGAAGTGGCTCTATCCACTGAGAAGACTCTGCTTCCTAGGCCCTCTCTGACCCTCAGTTCCTGATCTGTCCCCACTCCGGATACTGCTCATGGGAGGATGACACTACCTGTTCCCTACAGGGCAGTGGGCCCTTCCTGGCCCTGTGGTTCCTGTCCCAGCTATCCACCATGCTCTGAAAGTTCCCTGTTCCTATGACAGGACTGGGGGCCTCTCTGCCTCCTCCATCCGTCCACCCTGATGGTTCTTCCCAATGGGGCAGTCTTTGTTCATTCCTTTTTCCACCTGTGTTCCAGCCAGTGGTGTGGT